CATCGCCATAACCAGCTTCGATCTACACTTTCTAGGTTGATGTAACTACAGTGGCATGTAAGTGGATCAACCTGAAAAAAATAATAAAGGGGAATATTATAAAAGAAAGGAAGATGCAAGAAAAAATTCAGCCATAGATGTGGAGTGCAAGATGCATATGAAAGGTGAGGAAGAAAGAACATATCTTATCACCTGAAACTATGGGTGACCTCAAAGTTAGGGTGCACTGTAACAGTTGGAGGCTGGCAGTAGGAAATTGAGCTGTATGGTAGACAGAGACCAATCTTAGGCAAGTGGACTTGTTCTTCATTGTCAGCAAAATGGTGAAGCTGAAAGAGGATAGTTCTGGGAATATCAAGGTCTGGGGATCTCTTCAGGGACCTCCTGCCACTAGCTTAAACTGACCTAGCCACTGAAATCGTGCTCAGAAGCTGGTGCATGATGCCCATTTTGATGCCTCCAATCAAAAGTAGCATCTCTCATTGCTGGAGTCCCTTAGTGCCCTTGGTTTGCTTAGATGTTTTTCTATTTCTTTTATAGCATAAAACACATCATCACTAGTACTGGAACGATTTGAACCTTTTCCATTAGACTAAACCACTTACAAAAAGAAAGGGCGTATGTCTATTTCCTCCCACAGAGCCTCCAACTACACCAAGCACTCGATGTACCTTTGTTGAATTAATGAATAAATAACGAATTTTGTCAATATTGAACAGCACTAGATTCAGGTCACAGGAGAGGTGAAGGAGTTGTTTCTTGAGGATTATAAAAAAGACAGAATGTGTCCATACTCTCTTGATTACTTAGTAAGAGGTTGGCCTGGAAGTACCAACATTTATATCTTTTCATTTCTAACTTTCTTTCAGAAGATAGCTTTTTGTATTGAGGACAACGAGAAACACGAGCCTGTGTTACCTACTCAGTTCCGCCACAGGGGACTGAAGACCAAACCTAAAACCCCCTAGAGCCACAAGTAGCAATGTAATCTTCCAGAGCTTATTTTAATTCTCTTTGCTTCCTTCTTTTCCTTCAGTGTTACCAGGTTCGCCAAAGCCATAGCCTGAGAAATATGGTCAATGAGAAAGGTCAGTTTTGCCTTCCCTTAAATGGCATCAATTTTGATCAGATTTCATGTAACAGAGATCCATAATTTCCTATCAAAATTCCATACATAAAGCTGCAATAGAATGACTTTTGTCTCTGATAGTCATACAAGCTGTTCAGTTTTATGTTTCGGTAGAAGGTCTTAAACATGAATTCTAAGGTGTATGTGACATTTTAGGAGTTGCTTATACAGATGGTCTTCGACCTATGATAGGGATGTGTCCCAATAACTTCATCATAAATTGGAAAATATTGTAATTTAAAAATGCTTATAATAACCTAACCTATTGAATATCAGCTCAGCAACACAGCTCACTGGAGGGTCAGCTGATACCCCCGTAGACAGGGGGCCAAGTGGGATGCTGACCAGCATTGAGAGAGTAGCACATTGCTTCTCATTATTACTAGAAAAGATCAAAATTCAAAATTCAAAGTACAATTTCTACTTTTATACTATCATAAAGTCAGAAAATTCCAAGTAGAAAAATTCTAAATTAAATCATTTTAAGTGCATTTATGTCTCAAACCCCAGTGCAGAAGATACAGATAAAAAATCAAGTTATTGGATTAAAATACAAAAGATAACATTGTTTTTCTTTCATGATTTTAACCTTTGGCTCTTTCCACCATTCACTGATGCTGAAATCCTGCACAAAATGACATCTGATTCATATACACAATTATTTTAAGCTTCATTTACAAATACTTCTCCTCAAAGAGCATCCTGACTTCTGAGCATGAAGAACCAGCTTGTGAATCTCTCCTGTGATATTTAAGATACTTCTGTGAAGGTCCATTAAATTCCTTTATGTTCCATAGTTTACTTAACATAGTGGACTATGTTAACAAGATACTAAAGTGCTCTCTCTTTAAAAAACAAAAGTTAATGATGCATGATTACAATAAAACCTTTGTGGATATAAGCCTCATTTATACTTTTATTCTGCTATCCAAAATGAAGTTGAAGATATAGGCATCACTTATACCCTGCTTACCATAATTAATTTAGTGCCCTGCTCCATTTGAATAATTAGGGGTTCACTGTCACTTAAACATATCTACCTAAACTGAATACTCCTTACCATGAAAAATAGATCTTAAATAACATGGTTGTAATGAGAAAACATTGTTGAGATTGCTAAGCTGTTTTTTTGCTACGAGCACAATAAAAACAAGGATTCATATACAGTATTGAAATCGATCATTTTCAGAGATCACGAAATGGAATCCTGTATCCCATTTCTGGGACACTTCAAGATAGATAACAGCATGAGTTGTACATACAGTTAGTTTAAATATTTGTTTTAATACTGACAAGATCATGGGTTTTAATATTTATAATATAATTACAATGCTTAGTGCATGTCGCTCCTATAATCTAATTTTTTTCCTGGTGACATATTACCAAGCTTTAATTTCAGCAATGGCAAGAATTCAAAAACACATTTAGGTTATCATTAGTAATGAAAAACAAACCTGGGGCTTGTTCAAGCACCTTGGGCACATATCTCATTTCAACTTTAAAGCATTTTTTACTACCAAGGCACAATTCTTTGCTTACAAGATTTGCACATGTTCACAAAATATTACCAAAAAGTGGCCAGACATGTGAAATTAATGCCACATAAGGCAACTGAAGTTGAAATACTCTAGTCTTGCACAATAATGGCCTTTCAGAAAATTTCAACACAGTCAAAGTCAATGAAAATCAAACCAAAAAATTGTTACAAAATGCCACTGTCTTCCTTCCTAGCCCCGTCACTAGGTAGGAGTTGCCTGTACTGTAATTTTCCATTTTCTTCTTAGATGTCACAGAATAAGCAAGCTTTCATGACTAAAAGCATAAAACCTCAGAATGCTACACTAGTCATTAGTAGACAAATCAAATAACTACCTATGCCCTGTTCTAAATAGTACCCAAGTATCTGAGGGCTCATTTGTTTTTTGTGGTGACAAGCCCCCCTAAAACAGGAACCTGGCTGAAAAATCGAATAAGTGATGAAATTCTCCAGGATTGCACAAACAAACAAACAAACAAACAAGCAAACAAAATGCCCTTTAAAGAAATAGTATGGAAATCAAGGAAGTTTCATCATCAAATAATTATGTTATTTTATGTTAATATAAGAAAGAAAATACCTGACAGTAGATATGTCCCAAATTGCTTCCAGGGAAAGTAAAAAGTATTTGATGTTTTATTAGAAATACAATTGAGAAATAACTTATTTTTTTTTTCACACTCTTGTTGTCATGCACCACAATGATTGTGAGTCAAACTTAGAATGGAATTGTTGGCATGTTACTTATTTTCAACATGATTCAACATTAGAATAATAAAAATTCATGATACAAGATAAGTAGGCTCATTACCAAAATACCACCCACCAAACACAAGAAGAGAGCAGATTGTCCCTTGAGTAATAAACCAGCAATGAAACAAGATCATTCCTGGGGAATATGTGAATGGCTGCTTTGGTATTCATTATAAAGTACTACTTAATAGATTCAGAAGGTGACTGCAGAATCTCAGACATCTGAGTAATTTTCTTCTGCATGATTACTGCATGGTGTGGGTCTGCTCTGACAATAGAGAGGTGGTCCACTCCTTAATAACTCTATGAATGTTTGGAAGTCACTCCTAACTCTTATTTCAGGGTTAACTTCTTCACCACAAACACAACTATGCAAATGACGGAATGCTCAGAACTTCAGATGCACCTTTTCCAGAGTGAAAGTCCAAGGACACACAAACCAAGCAAGATTACAAAAACCAAAAAATATGCATGCTTGTAACTCTAAACTGGCACATGGTTGAAATGTTTCTTTGGGATGTTGCCCAAAGAATGAAGATATACAGTAATTTAAATATTTGGATCACAATAAACAGTTCTTTGGCAATATTAATCATGAGTCTATAAGCAAAGGTTTTCCTTACATACAAAAGCAACCAAATGTGCTTATCTCCTATGCCAGATGGTGATGATTTGTACTTTTCCCTATTCTCAAGTGCTGTTCATGATCACATTGTTTGCTCTTCTTTTTTCCTCTTCTGAGATTTTCTTAATTTTCATTTCCAACAGTTCTCAGGCAACACCCTGTGACATATTAATTTATTCACGAATGGTTTCTGAGCACCTTTGGAGACTGAGGTACAATTCTAGGTACAAAGACCAGATGCTTAGACAATAATAAGCAAAATGCCTTCCTTCCTTCCTTTCTTCTTTCCTTCCTTCCTTCCTTCCTTCCTTCCTTCCTTCCTTCCTCCCTTCTTTCCTTGTGCTTTCCATTAAACAATGCTAAACATTCTTGGTAGCTATCTGTCTAGAGTCTGTATTGTAGTAATCACTTTATATACTGACATAAAACATAAAAGCATATAAATACATTGACCAATTGTATACTGATTTCTTGAAACATTACAAGGTATTTAAATATAGAGAATTAAAAATGTATTTATACCACTAAAACTATGATGTAGGTTCTTTAGGGAAAAGCTCAGAATTCTTTCATAAATCTATAAATTTTGAATACAACACTTAGAATTAGTATACTGAGGATTAAAAATAATTCAAAGTGTCTTCTGATTGCCAATTCCCATAAGTGTAATAAAAGAAACCACATCTTTATAATTTCTGGGAGAAATATAGCTAACATACAGATCTCCAAATATAGAACATAACGTCAAAGAAAATGAGAATGATTTTTCTAAGTCATTTATGAACATTAGTCTCATTACTTCTTGGTGACATCATTTATATGTGACTAATAAATACGTTTGTCATGTACACAGTGATAGGTCTGAGGAAGAGAATGAAAACCTTTTTAAGGAGGACGCAGTACTTCTTTCTGTGTCGTAAAAGCCAGGTGCAAAACAAACAAAGGCAGTCACTCACCTTGGTGGACTCCCAGCTAACTCTGAGGCAGTCTCTCTGTTGAAGAAAAAGAAGATAAAAATCAACGAGCTGAGTTTGGTAAATTATAAAAATTTGTTTAATTTATATAACATAATGCATCAGGTATATGTGAAGAAGGTATTTTACATCAATCTTTAGGAAATTAAAACTGACTAATGACATTTCTGATTATTCTCATAAATGTTTTCAGAAATATTTTCAAAGGAAATTTTACATACATGCAACATACCTACTTCTGTTTTCTGGTGGTAGACTTTAACAGAGTTTAAAATATGATAATTATGTAATGCATAACATCCAAAAGGAAATTAGAGGGGAAAAACCCAAACCATCTTTTAGGTATTTGCAGTTCAACAAACATCTATAATTTCTTCCCAGCAGTCATACAGAAATAGATTCCTTTGCAGATGTTTCTTCATGTGGATCTCATCACCCAAGATTTAGGAAAGGGCACAGGTAGTGCAAAATGCAATTCTTGGTTAACAGATTGCTGTGTTTCATTTCTTTATCATAATGCTGTATCATCTGAGATTTCTGAGGGGATATGCTGTAACTCAAATGTCATAAAAGATAAATTACTAATTAAAGGCTGTATTAATAAAAGTGACCAGAGACAAACTTCAAAACTAATTTTTCCGAGTTGCCATATCCTGTCTTTCAATTAGAGATGTGTCCTTGGAAATAAAAGGGAGCAGTGAGTGATAAGAAGAGACAGAAACTTTATGTTGAGACATTTTAAAAGAAGAGGAGGGTTTAATTGTAGACTGAGGGATTAAAGGAATGAATTTTAGGAATCATACGGCAAAATATTCTTAGTGTTAAAAACCTCTCAGGACTGTCATTAAAGATATGAACAAAGAAGTGTAACTACACTTATACACAGAATATGGTGCACGCTTACTGATGGTTCGTGGCCTTCATAAAGTGAATGTGGCTGCTGTGGCCAGGAACCTCAGTTTTAAACTAATATTTTCCTACTCATTTTGTCACTCCAAATAAAAGACTTACTGCTTCAAGAACCTTTTTTGACCTTCCCAACTTTAAGAACTTTCTCCCTCTACTAAACTGTCTGTGATAGTACTCAAGCACTGTAGGAAAGCAGTGATTCCTATAAAGCCATAAATTGTTTTTAAAAAGCGAATGATTATGAGTTAACTCCTTTAGAAATGTTCTTTCCCAGTAAGTCACACAGTAGTAAGTCTCAGCTTTTATTGCTATAGAAACTGCCTTTGAGAAGCAAGGTTCTATTCCTTCAGCAAAATGTTGAAAGCGTTGTCCACTATACTGTGAAATGCTTCATACATTCTAATGCATCTAAGTGCCTTATATAGGCATCTTATATAGGCATCTTAGTGCCTATATAAGAAATTTCTCTTTTCAAACAGAATTTGCATGTGTAGGCACCCATTAAGGAGTACCTCCATTAGTTTTCCCTTATAGCACTTATCACAACAGATGCTTTTCAATATCCATTTTATTATTTATCATTTTGTCACTTGAGACCAATATATTTTGGCACTCAATAAATATGTATTCAGTGTGTCAGGATTGAGTTAATGAACTTTTGTGATCTTCTTGCTGACCTTGAGAGTTAGATTTACGTTTAGTATCAGCTCAAAACAACAGTAACAACTTAAAGCTAAGGTACATTATGTTTTCTTATTTCTCATCTTTTAATCCCCTATTTTTTTCTAGATTGCAGCACTTTAAAATTATGCATCTCTTGGTATCTTTTTAAACTTTATTATTCATATATTATAAGGAGCCCACCTAAATTGTAGTTGAGCAAAATCTTTCAAGCTTGGCTGTATACTGACATTCTGGGTCAGATAATTTTCGGTATATATGTGTGGAAGGGGTGCTTTCCTGGGATTTGTAGGACATTCAGCAGCATCTCTGCCCTTTATTCATTAAATGTCAGTAATATCTGCCACCACCCCTGTTATGACTACCAAAAATATCTCTAGACATTGCCAAATGTTTACTGAGTACAAAACTACCCACAACTGCGAGTGACTAAAATAGAACAATACAAGTGTCCATAATTAATCTGTACCTCAAAAGATCACAGATTAAGCACCATTCTCCAGTCTCGTGAAAAAACATAATGACATTTCCCTAAAAATGGCATTTTTATTGTGGCTCTGGACACTTAAATTTCTGTACTTAATACGAGTATATTTGTATTTGTTCTTCAATCCATTTATACTGTGGTACTCATTATAATTTTTAATTTTCTTAAATATTATATAAAACTGATAAGAATATAAGTATGGAAAAGTTTTTATTTCTATAGAAATTAAGTTGGATACTTTGGAGAGACTAGAAATGGCAAATCACTTAAGAAAAACTGATGTTGAATTAGGTCTTAGGGCACAAACACTATAGAAATTGGAGAAAAAAACAGTTTTCACAAGTGTCTTTAAATTCTTGTTTCTTTAAAAAAAACATGGAAATTCAAGATGGTGAGTGATGGGTATAGTTATGCACAAAATAGTGCAGAATGAGAGTTAGTGGGTCCACTATCTCAAAGGAAAGTGTTGGCTTTGTTTTAGCTTCATAACAAAGATGCTTGGAGAAAAAGTCCAGTTCTACCACATACTAAGGACTAATATTAAGTAAAAAACAATGTTTTATACAGTACAACTGTATGCTCAAAATTTTACATTTTTTAAAATGTACAGGCAGGGCTTGAAGTTATAATTACTAAAAGTTTGATAATTCCATCCCATTAGATCATGTACTTCCAAGATTTAAACAAAATAAAACAAACAAGTAAGCAAGCAAACAAACAAAGCAAAACAAAAGAAGGAACGTCTGCACTGGGCTGCAACAGCAGCCAGGATTACCAAATCACCATGTTTGAGATTAAGAAAATAGCAAACACTGGAGCTTTTACAGCAATGATTCATTTATTGTTATCCATTTGCTGTTGCTAAAGTTATATGAATTATTGCATGTTTTCACGAATTTCTACCTTTCATAAAGCAGGAAAGTAATTTTAGCAAGTTATGCTTCTGGTAGTAACTCAGTTGAGGGTAACATAAAGACCATGCATTTCTCATTGGGCTTTTTAGGTCAAAATGTCCATTTTAGGCATTCCTTCTTAAGCATAAACTATCTTCACTCACTGTTAGTTATTCATCCAACACATTCTCTGAGCATTTAAAATATGTTCAACCCAGGCGACACTGCCTGCTGTCAGAGGAACCAAGATGAATTCAGACTCTCCTGATCCTTCTTGAAAGTGTTTGCACTGCAGGAAAGAATGAAAAATAAGGTATAAAGTGATGGGTGTTTTGTGTTTTTCTACTGTTGAAAACTCTTCTAAATCTCCCACAAAATTCTGAATACCAGTACCTGGCTCACATCAAACAGTAAATGTGGATACAATAGAGTGGAATGTTTTCTACTTTTAAAGAATTTTAACTTCTTAAATTCATTTTTAGGAATGACTATTATAGGTATCTGGAGTTTTAACTGCACTAACTTCCTTTCCTCGGTTATTGCTTTCAAGACAATTTGCATTCCAGAGAAGACAGAATGCTAAAAATTGAATGAAAATATTGATGAAGGAAACAGCACAGAACAATTACTAGGTTTAAAAAATTACCAGGCTTCATCAGGTTTTCCTAAGGGTGTAAAGCAGACTGAGATGACGGAAGTTGTGTACATTTGCTAAATTGTGCAGTTTCAACAACTGTTTTCCCCTCGAAAGTTCTCGACATCCCAGAATGCAGTAAGAACACTGTCCTTTGAACTAAGTTCCCTAGTATCATCCTTGACATGAATGAATACGAAAGCGCACTACAACTTTATCAAAGGAAAAAGAAATATAGAAAAGATTAGTACCTTTCAACAGCAGACATGTATGCTGTTTATATTTTACAGATTGGTTAGCATTCCCTTCAAAAAACATTAATGTTAAATGTACAACACATTCACCAAAGATACCAGCTTTTATGAACTGTCTAGAATAACACCCTTCCTCATCATCTTCTATTCTTTCTCATCCCTAAACTATGCAAACAGCTCTTTTCTTAGGAAGTGTTGAAGCAGGAGCATACTATTTCCACGTAGCTTGCCAGCTTCCAAAATTAGTTGAGAACTACACAACAGAGGGCACAAGCCCCCATGCTAACAGTGTGTCAGCTTAAGAACTATGTTTAACGCTTCAAGTGATTCTCTCCAATGGTAGGTACCTTTGAATGTTCAAAAACACAAACTTTTAAAAAATGGCAAAATACATTTTATCTTCATTGCTTTTCTCTGAACTATGTAATGTTTTGGTTGTAGAAAGTTTTATGTTTGCTCTAATTAAGATGAAAGGTTTTTTTGTTTTGTTTTGTTTTTTCAGAATAGCGTCATGTTATGCTTTCAGGCTGGCCTTGAGTTTACCATGTAGCCCTGCTTGGTCTTGAACTATCTGTGATTTTTCTGCCTCAACTTCTAGAGTGCTGGGATGATACGCGCCACTATGCTTAGCAGGTGAAAGTAGTGGATCAAGTGTTTTTCTTTCTTTCTTTCTTTCTTTCTTTCTTTCTTTCTTTCTTTCTTTCTTTCTTCCTCCCTCCCTCCTTCCCTCCCTCCCTCCCTCCTTCCCTCCCTCCCTCCCTCCCTCCTTCCTTCCTTCCTTCCTTCCTTCCTTCCTTCCTTCCTTCTTTTCCTTCCCTCTTTCCTTCCTCCCTTGCTCATCTCCCTTTTATGGTCATCAGCTTGGGGAAAGTTGTGAGCCTTTAACGTTAGATTTATTTTATGATAGATACACAAAAAGTTAGCTTAAAGGCATTATTACAAATCCATATATTAATTCAGGAAAGTTAACTTTTAAAAAATATATGGTGATTATGAACCTCAGGAAATCTAAAACTCCCTGGACAGTAATGCTTCTTTTCTGTTAAATAAAGTCTAAAAATACTGCTTTGTTCCCTTCCTCCAGTTTCCCTATGATGTTTTATTTCTCTTTATGTTTTCTTTATTTTGGCCACTTTAAAATTTCTCTCTTCCACTTTCAA